CCACATTGGGAGCCACAACATTTTATGTCTCAGTATGTGCGAATGTCCTAGTATAGGCTAAAAAATATAAACGAAAACACAGATTTACTTTGCTCTGCTTTAAGCTTTAGCTTTAGCCGCTTTCCTCCCATCTCCGCTGGAAAACGGCTGAAATCACTTCTTGTTCGAATTTTCGCGTTCCACCAAAAATTCTGCCTGAGGCACCAGAATGTAAATGCGGCACCATTTAAGGTGGACCGGGAAAATTCGAAATAGAAGCTGACTTCAGCTTCGCAACTTTTTAGTGTTTGACAGTATCTCGTTGTAGGTTTAACATATCAGGAAACCAACTGCGTTGCTTATAAATGCGAATAAATCCATTCGTCTCCAAATGTTCGTCTTAAATCTGTGCCTTTTCGTTAGCTAACATTACTAGCCAGGCGAGACTGCGTTGCTAGGTGACCTGCAGTCTGCATACCGGGGGAAAAGGGACCTGAACAAGAGCCATATTATATGCAAGTTGTGTCACACTAAACTAAAATATTTTGGAAACGACAAACATGAGAAACCATATTACATGTTTCCACCCGTTTTCCTACCGGTTGTACTTGCTGACAACCAGAGGATCATCGAGTAAGCGATGTTGAAACTTCTACCCAACTTGTAAGCGAATTACAAACTCTATCGCAACTTTTATTACCAAGGGTTTGCTTCCGTTCTCAGTCGCTGAGAACCAGGGCTTTCGCGCTATGTTGGACACTTTGGAGCCGAGATACAGCGTCTCGTCTCAAAGATATTTTACTGACACAGCGACCCCCACTCTCTACAACGAGACCAAAACCGAACATGTGCTGCGTGGAGATCCACTGCCACAGAGTCTTTTGTCACCGTAACTGCATTATATCGCAGATGAGTGGCAGCCAGCGTCTCATGTGCTTCAAACAAGAGCAGTGAATGAGAGCCTTCTAGTTCACTTGCCACATCACTTCCATTTGCTTTATTAATAAAAGATATTGGAAGTAAATTCGTTATGGATCATTACAAATACTTTGCTTTAAAAGTACAAAGTTTTCACACAGTGAGAAAATAGAAATCCTGTATAGAAAAAAAAAAGATGCATCAAGATGCATTGGCAGTCGTTTTATAATCACATGCAGCCCCCTGAATCGTAATCATAATCGAATCGTGAGGTGCCTAGAGATTCCCACCCCTAATCGTGATAATTATTTTAGATATCACCCAAGCCTTTTTGATAGAGACTGTATAAGGTTGTGACCCTGTCAAAATGAATGTTCACCATACAGAGTCTTTGCAGTCTTGATGTTACTGTAGTGCTTTGTTAACGTGTTTATTTGGTCACACCTTTTGTTGAAGTTTTTGGTTGGGTTTTCACTGTCTGGTCGCACCACAGTGAGCACTTGTTCTTTTGCATTTATAGCTATGAATGATTGCAAGTGTGTTGGGAAACCGGACACTCGAGTGTTTGACCTTAGACCCCAGGCATCCCACATCAGTCACCCTTTCACCCCCATAATCTCAGACCCTGCAGTCCAATCATTTCTGGACAGGTTTGAGAGGAAAGTATGTTTTAACATCACTGTGTATCTATTGCAGCCAGGCTTTACAGCTTCTTTGTTAGAACTGGTAGTACATACTGTTACTGTGTCATGGTATGGATTTTACCACACTACAGATACTGTGATAATCTCATAAAATGGTGCAGCACTTAAAAACCAGAATGTATCTGCTGCACCACTTAAAGTTCAGATGAGAAGCTGGCGAATAGGAAGGCAGCTTCAGCCTTGTTATTTTTAGTTATTCTTTGTTCTTTGTTTGTGGTTTGTGAATGTTTTCATCATTTAAGAAACTGAGCGTACAGATGCCATCAGCGTGCTTGCAGGGGCTTTCCTTCCTGCTTCTGTTTTGCTGATTCAGGTGTGATTAAACCTGCAGTGGAGAAGTTCTTGGGTGTCTTAATACTCCACATGAACAAAGATAAGTCTTGTGTCTGATGCTCCCCTTAAAAACTGATAGTTAAAATTGGCTATGCGTTATGGGGGAAAATGAAAAAAAAAATCATTATATTTATTTTATTGTAAATCTTTGGTTTAGTGTTTTTGTGCTGCTAAGAAGTCAGTCTGAGTATCAGAGTAAACTCTGCTGTTCAGTGCTAAAATATCCAATATCGTTGTGAGTTTTGTGAATTATTGCACCTCTTTTATTTGCAGATTGCAGTATTGGTTAGCTGTTGTCCAGTAAGTGGAAAAATAATGTGCTATAAAATTTCATATTTCCCACCATAGACATTTTTGTTGTTTTCTTTGCAATTATTCATCCTAACTTTTACCTCTTGACATTCACTTTTGGTCATCCAGCCACACTGTTTGGTCCTGTCCTCCCCGAGGAAACCGTACTGAGGCATGCAAGATATGCGTTCTGCAGGACGCGGGGTTAAATCCCCAGCATTTCCCACATTCTTGCCAATTACCGTACTCCAATCATGTTAAGGGGCTAACGCCCTGCTATGCACATAAGGCACATTCTTCAGTACTATAAGATTAAAGGAAACGCTTATGTAGGTCTGTGCGTACAGACAGAGGAGCCACTTTTAGGTTTCCAGGCCAGAGCTAAAAATGAGTCAGTTTGCAGGTGTCCATGCTCAATTAAGCCGTAGTAAATCCTGTGGCGCTTTGGCCATTAGGGCATATTTTGCTCCACAAATGGTCTCTCCTTTTTTGTGTTTCTTATTTATTTATTTATGTATGTATGTACTTCCCCAAAAGGTTACTTCTGCTAGCGGAGAATAGCAGTACTTGATAACATTTATGAATGTTTATTCAATCTTATGGGCAATTCCAATACCAGTTTTATTTATATTTTGCTTGGTGCAAAGCGGGAATTCTTCTTTAGCCTGATTACTTAAGCCGAAAAACAAGCCTGTCCAATAGGAATTTTCCTTAGCTCTTCTGTGAAATATCCTTCTGTTCTAGATACATTTAACATTTTCTTCTTTATTTATTTATGTTCTATAATTATTCGTTTACCTTCTATTATATCTAAGTATGTAAACCTTTGAAGTTCTCCAGAGGTGGTATAATTAGGATAAATTTTTAGATTAGTTCTGCTTTTATGTTATTAAAACTACTGATGCAGAAGTCCTGAATGCTACAGTAGATTACAAACACAACATCGGTTAGAGACACAAACTGGTATTGGCGGATATTTGCCTTAAAAAAATTATACAATGAAGTAGATATTTAGGTTTGACTGAGATTTCAAACTGATGTTATGATGTGCTCATGGAACTCCGGAAGAGCAGAATGTTCAGGTGACGTTGAGGTACTGCACTGAAATATCTACATTTTATTCGTTGTACTATATTTGTAAGTCTCGAGAAATAAATGTTATATTTTTCTGTGGATTTAGTCCCAATTTCAGCACTTTATAAATATTTGTGTATCAGCATTGTCAGATATGTACATGAAAATATAAGCTCTGGCCCACAATTCCCAACTTCCCAACTACCCAACTTAAAATACATGCAAGTAAGTGTAGTTCCTGTTTCTACATTTTGTAAACTTATGTATATCGGTCATGATATCAGCAGATATGTACATGAAAAATATTTGCATCATTTTGCTCAGTATCATTTACAGGAATACATATTGATTCATCAGAACACCCACAGAAACTCATCTGGTGTTGTGAGTGGTCAGGCTCAAACAAACTGTGATTGATTAGAAGCCTTGTTTACATATACATTAGCAGTATTGCAAAGAAGTGACCTAGTGTGCCCGGAAATGGTCATAGACGTTTAATCATCAGGCAGATCCTCTTTGAATCTGGTTTTCGCTTTAACCTTCAAGCAATCTGTTAGTGAACTCCTATCAGAGTTCATCAGAGTTCCTCTGGTCTTTATGTACGGCGAGCAGTCTGAGGGGAGTACAGGAAGAAAAAAAACCAATGCATTCATCTTGACAGCCTGTCAGAGAGAGGCGTGTTGGAGAGGAGGCCGCTGTCACACATTTTGACACCTGTCCCAGAACGAGCAACCTCTAAATAACATCAGAGCAGTTAAATCGCTGGGCTGGACATGACTGGAGTGCCATGGCAACCTGACAGTGCGTGGTTGCTGGACAAATATCATCACTGCATTTGAGCAAGAAGGAACAAAGGAGGACCATGAGACAGTTTTAGTGGCCCTCTGCTTGGTGTGGGTGTCAAGTGTCACATGTTGTGTGCCGTTCTGAACATGGCTGAGTCATCGGCTGGAAACAGTCATCAGCAGGACCGAAGGCAGTGTTTATGTGGTGCATGTACATTGCTCACAGTGTGTGGTTTGGGCTGCCCACGTCTACTTAGCATTTGTGATTATTTTGGGAAATGGGCATAGCAGTTTAGAGGAAACTTCTGTGCCTCAAAATCTGTCTTTTGAATATGTTAACCATTTTTTGGGATATGGCACTGACGTGTTCATTATCTTTTAATGCAACCAGAGTTTAGGCCTCGATCTGAGTAGTATTCCAAATCATTCTGTGCGAGTACATACAGGTTTTTTTTTCCCAATAATGCTAATATATTTACAAGGCATGAAAAGACAATGAGCCCACTGGCATAACAAGAAGGCTTACTAACCTTCACAGCTGTCAGGTCTAAAAGTTTAGTTGTGAACTGCTGGTTTACCTTAAGACTGTGTGTCTTTTGCCTTGCTGTGGTCTCATGACAGTGAATTTCAGTCTCATGGGTTAAGAATGTTGTTTTACTTCACAATGGCATCACAGAACTAGCCAATAGAGTTCAGATTTGTATTTGCAATGGACTGACCAGCATTATTAGCCAGTGGGGCCCCATCTAATTAAAGACAAGCGTGCTGATTTTGCATGCTAGCATTTAGTGTTTAAAAAGGGTACCGAAACGGACATTAAGCAAAACAACCAGAAGCTAAACAGCCCTCTTACACAACAAGAGCGTCTCCCTAATGGATCTAAGTTGATTGCTTTGAGAAGTTAAAACTAGAGGAAAATGTGTTTTGTAAAGTTTATATCTGTAAGGATCATGATGTTTTACATTAAACTGCAGTAGAAAGCAGCCTTACACATACACACTCTGCTCTTTTCAGTGAGTCACCTTAAACAACTCAGATCACCAATGAGAACAAACTCTTTCAGCTCCAAAAGGGCTCCTTATTTGGTAGCACTGATAGTTTTTTAATTCCAAGATTAACTATATAATCTATTGTCTAAGTTCCAAGTCTTAGTTGCATTTCTTATTCACAAAAAAAGATTATATTATAAAATCATATAAAATTTCAGTAAACATGGAGACATCAGAAAGAAATAAGAATTGGCTGTCCAGAAAACAGACTTGCAGACCAAACTTATAAGAACTGCTACTTTCTGTTAATTACATAAAACAGAAATACTGAATGACTGAAAATAACTTTGTTAATACAGTCTTTAAGGGCTTGGATGATTTAGAAAAGTTGAATTGCAGAATTAAACATCCTCTTTGACTGATCTAGCGCTCACTCGTTAACCTACAGAAATTTGGTAAAAAACGTGATATCACTGTTTTGCCATGCCGCTGTATTTTAACATGTTCAGATATTTGTTCATTCATTATTGTTGAAATATTATCAGGAGAAGAAACAACAACTCCAACAAGTAAAACTAAATTCAGCATATTGCTTTATTTAGATTTAGTTTTGGCATTTGACCAGTGTTAGCCACGTTGTACATGCTTAAGTGTATCAATACAAATCTGAACACTTCTACTACCACCTTGTTGCATTAGACTGAAGTTGTTGTGTGTGGAGAGAAAGCTCAGTGGTCGTCTACATGTGGTATCAGATAAGCGCCTGGCTACATTCTTTGCTGGTGGTCAGAGTGATCAAACCCTGGGGCTGGAGGGGGTAGCAGGACTTCAGACAGTACAGACAGCAGCTGCCAGGCGCAATGCTGACATCACACTCTCGGATATTTTAAAAGGGGCCGAGAGCAAGGGGAGCTTGCTGTGACCACGCAAAGCCAGACCAGACTGTCTAAAAGAACGTTCAGGAACCATACAGTCTGCCTGAGAAAGTGAACCAATTCTCCTTTGGCTGAGTGGAAGCCTATCAGTTTGGTCTTTGGGGATATGACCCACTAGGTCCTGCTGTACTGGCAATGCTCCGGCATTGCCCCATCCCTCGCTTCTCATCAGCCGGCCCTCAGAGGAAGATGCCCAAGGCCTCGGGCAAGGAGAAGGCGCCTCGGGCTCTGCCGGAGAGCCAGGCGCTCAAGCTGGCTGACCCCAAAGAAGTGGCCAAAGAGCCGCTTCCTCCGCAGAAGGTGCTGAGAATCTTTAGCATTAACATCATCGCGCAGGGCCTGCCCTTCTGTCGCAGACGGGTAAGTCTGGGTTCAGGGGATTTTGCGCGTCCATCTCCCGGCATGGAAGTTATATAGGTCAAGCTAGTGGCCATTTTGTGGCTTGAATTACTGAGCAATTGTAAGTTGCCCTCACGCCAAGTGTGGAACTTTTAGTATTTAATTATTAATTAATTTTTGTTCTGTTTCCTGCTGTCCTCAAAGTTGCTTTAAAGCTATGAGATTACGAAATTATTACTAAATTATTTTATTTAACGTAATTGGTTTTATGTTCCCTCGATTTCAAGCCTTTGAACAGTACTTGCGAAATATAACATATATCTTTTGTTTTGGTTGGTAAACTTGTTAAATTAAATGAGGTTGTTATGTGATAGTCATTACAGAAAAGTAACCCTAGTAAATAAGGGGCTGCTTTAATAACACTTACGTATGTATCCTAAGTTAAATGCTTAAAGCAAAACATTGAAATTTAAGCTTTGCAACTTAAAAAAAACAAAAAAAACAAACGATGAATATTAGAGTCTAAAATTTAATTTACAAGCCGTTTTACATGGCTCACTTATGGAGAAAGGAAAACTTAAGACCACAGTTAACTTTTTAAGTTAACGTTTTAAGCAAGTGACCGCAAGTCCTAGTTTGGTTGTAGTGAGTTTTATTGTAGTGCCGGTGCAGGGTCTTAAAAATTCTACTTTTCCCTTACTGTTGAGCACTTATTCTTGTTGAATAGATGTGACGTATCTAAATTAGAGTGGTGAAGTGTTTCATGTTGGACGAAAAACTCTTGCTTTATGATTCATGGTTCTCCTTCAGTCTTCCCTGTCCCTGTCACTCTGAGACGAACAATGACAGCAATTGGTACAGCAGGCAGGAGCCTGAATATAGCACCGCTAGTCTCCTCCGTGTTATAAGCTGTCACCCTGTGCTACATTGCTGTCATTTTAATGGGACTTGCGAAGTCCTCCAGAGATAGTTTGGCTATGTCAAATGTCAACATTTATGCTGAAGCCGTCTGCTCTAACAAGGGTTAGACATGGATGGACAGATACACAGAGAGGGACCGTGTTTCAGACAGTGTTACTGGTGGGAGCTAATGCCAAACAGCATGTTCTCGAAAGAACAAAATAACCGTGTTGGCACTGATTGGGCATCACGTGCCGAGCTCCTCCTTCGTTGGCCTCTAAGACCCAAACCTGTGACCTTAAAAAGACTGGCAAACAGGCTACTATCTTTAGGCCTTGTTGCGGAGTCAATAAGTCTAATATGTCTAATTTTGAGATGGTTGTTGGAATATTACAAGATTAGTCAACTTATTTCTAGGTGTTTTTTAACTTAAGACATTAAAAACAGTTCCCGAAGTTTTTTTTTTTTAATTTTAGCTAAGGTTTTTATGTTTGTTTAGCCACACTGCAAAAAAAAAAAAGATAAACTGGCAAGTGAAAAGGTCTTTAGTCGATATACAGCCACATGCGAACATTATAACACCCCTGATTAAATAACATGTTTTAATGATTTAAGTGAATTCACCTTTTACGGAGAATGCACTTATCTCTACACAATTTATATATATATTTGTCGAGTTTAAAGTATTGGAAAAACCTATAAAATGTACCATACATTTTTTTATGCAGGCCACATTTTATGTTTGATGTTTTCACGAATATGTTACATTCAACAGATAAACAGTAATTGTGCATTAAAATGTGCAGAAGTGTGTTTTCTCTTAGAAAATCAATAGAACACAGAAATTTTACCAGGGGAACTAAATTTTTTGCATAGGTCATATTTCCCTTTATGAAATTGCTTGAAGCGTATTATAAGATTATTAAACTTATTTTTACCGTTTTTAAGTACATTTTATCTAAAGAAACTGGTTTCTGTTCCAAACCAACGCTGATAATTTTGCTTATTTTGAAACAAGCAGCGCTAATTTACGTTTATGAGACAAGGTGGCTTAAAACTAAAGTAAAAATATCTCACAATATTCTTACAATAATCTCAAAATGAGGAAATATTTGATATACTGACTAGAGTTAAGATGGCTCTGCTTGCCAAGATAACATTTTAGCAGTGCAAAATTTACTTAATTTACTTAAATTTCTAGCTTCCCAAAAAGTTTTATGCCCCCCAACGAGACTGCATTTAAACCAAACAGGTGCTTTTAAACTGGGTGTGGTCAAAAGAGGGCAAGCGCCACGGTCAAAGTCGAGTGCGTGTTGGTGTAGGACTTGTTGCAATGTTACACCTCGACAACTGGCCCTGGGCTTACCGTGCTGCTTGTGACCGGAACCTAAATTAAGCCGTTCATCTTAGTGGAAAAAGAAAAGCACTGGATAGCGAGCGAAAGCGTGGGCTGGACGAAGGGTACCAAGCGAAATCGTTTACCATTTTGAGAAATCGTTGTTGTCCTCTGGAACGCGTACCACAGCGAGCTTTATATAGTTGCGCTGAAGTGAAAGCCTGAGTGAAAGAAAAATAGAACTGGTTTGGTGCTATCGTTGCACTGTTAAACAGAATTAGGTTATGCTCTGAATCTCTAGTTATTTCTCTACATGGGTACTAATTGCGTTCTCAGATAAGGACAGTGGTTATGCTTTTAGCTTTGTGTTATAGAAATGGACTGTGTAGGAGAAATCCATTAAATGGCTTTCTGAACTGAGGTCCACATAATGAACGGTTGCAGTAGTGAAAGCATCTCTGTTTTGAAAGAATGTGATACCTGGGCAGGGAACATAAAAAAGGGGAGGTGGGAGGCGGACAAAGGAGCAGGAAGTGTGTGACAGGTGAAATAGAGAATGAAAAGTGTAGGTGGACGGGAGAATGAAACATGTAGGACAGTGCAGGGACGGAGCGATCCGGCTGATTAGCAGTGTTTATGCCCTTCCTGTGTGTTCAGAGGCCAAAACCGGGATGGAGAACATGGGCAACTTCTATGCTGAACCTACTTTTACTACTGTTCAAAAGTTTGGAGGCCCTTGCCTTAGTAACAGTTTTGGTATTCACTTTAGGACTGCAAAAAATACTCAATAAAATTCAATAATTGTTGTTTTAAGAATATTAGAATATTACTCAACATATTTCCAAACATTTTTTACTTGTTTTGCTATCTAAAACTTAACACTCAAATATTTTTTCTTGAAATAAGCAAAATTATCTGCATTATGTAGATACTTTCAGAATAATAAAATAATACAAAATGTATTGAAATAGGTTAAATTATGTTTTACCATTCTTACAACAATCTCGGTGAGAAATATTACATGTATAAACTAGATTCAAGATTGAAATAATTGATAGAACACTCAAAATGAAAATATATTTTCTTTATATTTTTTATTTTATATACAACAAAAATGTTTACAGTGTACGTTTAAATGTCGCACTATTTGCCTAAAGGTATTTTTAGATGTTTTATTCAGTAGAAGGGCCGGAAAGGGTTTGCTGCACAATGTCATAGAAGAATTACACTTGGTTCCCCAAAAAGCCTCGACATATTATAAACATTCTTGTAAGAACCCTCAAATTGGTATGGAACTTTTTAAAAGGTTCCTGACACTCTCAAATCTCTTTTTTAAACATGATTCTTCAGGGAGCCAGAGAAAAACTTCTTCTTCTACGTATTAAAATTATAGCATGTTTTTTCTGAAGAAAAATCG